AAGATGCTGGAGCACAACTAGGCCTGGGAGTGTGAGGATGTACAGGAGAGGAAAGTCTAGGTCAAGGATTCTCAGCCTTCCAAATGCTGTAACCCCCTTCAATACAGTTCCCAATGTTGTGCTGACTCCCCACCATAAAATTATTATTACTACTTCATAACTGTAATTTTGCTACTGTTATGAATTGTGTTTTCTGGTAGTCTTAGGTGATCTCCATGAAAGGGTTGTTTGATCCCCAAAGGAGTCACAGACCCTCATGTTGAAAACTAATTGTCGAGATCACTGACTAAGCTATGATGGTGAGGAGACAACTTGACCCTAGCTTGGACTGAGACTGTCCAGGTGGAATATGAGTGTCTAGGCCTGGGTCACTCATAGGCAGGCCTGGAATGCCGGCCGCAAGCATTAGAATAGATTGGGGGTGGGGGGCAGGGTCTTGATTTCTCATGAAGCTAGAATTTTGTATAAGCTGCATGGCAGAAGCTAGGCCTTGTAATGTGAGGATGGGGTAGAGAGAGGGACAGGATCTTGATCAGCCAGCCATCGGGGCTTGTGTCAAGACTGCTTGATGGGAGGACAGGGGTCCGTTATCACCCATCAGGCTGTGCTGCTCAGCAAGTTGCTTCACCTGGACTAGGCCTTGGAGTGTCAGGAAGGCTCTGGAGGCAGGAGTCTTTTTTTAAAAATTATTCCCTTTACATCCTGCTCACTGTCCCACTCCTGGTCACTCTTTCTCCTACAATCCTTCCCCCATTTCCCCCTCCCCTTCTCCTCTGAGCAGGTGGGGGCCCCTTGGGTATCCTTCCCTCACCTGGCACTTTAAGTCTGTGCTAAGCTAGGTGTTTCCTCTCTCACTGAGGCCAGACAAGGCAGTCCAGCTGAAGAACAACATATCCTACATACAGACAGCAGCTTTTGGGATAGAGCCTGCTCCAGTTGTTCTTGACCCACATGAAGACCAAGATGCACATCTGCTGCATATGAGTAGGGAGGCCTAGGTCCAGTCCACATATATTCTTTGGTTGGTGGTTCAAAACTGAGAGCTGCAAGCTTCCAGGTTAATTGGTTCTATTGGTCTTCCTATGGAGTTCCTATTCCCTTAGGGGGCCACAATCCTTCCTCCTATCCTTCCATAAGAGTCCCCAAGTTCCATCCACTGTTTGGCTGTGGGTGTCTGTATATGTTTGAGTCAGCTGCTTGATAGACCCTCTCAGAGAACAACATGTTCCTTTCTGCAAACATAACCGAGTATCAATAATAGTGTTAGGGATTGGTGCTTGGCCATGGGATTGGTCTTAAGTTAGGCTGGTTATTTGGGTTATTGGTTAGCTATTCCCTCAGTCTCTGCTCCCTTCACTGTGCTTGTGTTACTTGTAGACAGGATAGATTTTGGTTTGAAAGTTTTGTGGGTGGGTTGGTGTCTCTATTGCTCCACTGGGGTTCCTGCCTGTCTACAGGAGGTTGCCTCTTCAGGTTCCATATCCCCAATGTAGTGAGTCACAGCCAAGGGTCATCCCCATTAATTCTTGGGCACCTCCCTTATCCCAGGTCTCTGTCTCATTATGGAGATGTCCCCCATCCCTCCTGTCAGTTGCAGATTTCCATTCATTTTCATGGCCATCTAGCCATGTCTCCTGTCCTTCCCCACACCTGATCCAGAACTCCCAATTCCCTTCCACCCTCCCTTTCCTTCCAGTTTCCTCCCTCCATCTGCCTCTTATGACTATTTTATTTCTAAGTGTGATTCAAGCTTTCTCAATTGGGCCTGTGGAGTGTAATGTGGTACCTGTATATTATGGCTAATATTCACTTATGAGTACATACCATTTATGTCCTTTTGGGTCTGGGTTACCTCACTCAGGATAATATTCTCAAGTTCCATCCATCTGCCTACAGAATTTGTGATGTCTTTCTTTTTAATAGCTGAATAGTATCCCACTAGAAAAGGACCTTCACCAACCCTACATGTGACAGAAGGCTAATATCCAAAATTTACAAAGAACTCAAGTTAGACATCAATAACTCAAATAAACCAATTAAAAGTGAGGAACAGGGCTAAACAGATAATTCTCAACAGAGGACTCTCAAATTGTTGAGAAGCACTTAAAGAAATGTTCAGAGTTCCTGACTCCTTAGTCATCAGAGAAATGTAAATCAAAACAACTGCAAAAACGAAAATACTCATCAGAATGTCTAAGATCAAAAACTCAGAAGATAGCACATGCTGGTGAGGATGTGGAGCAAGGGGAACACTCCTCTATTGCCGGTGGGCATGCAATCTTGTACAACCATTTTGGAAATCAATTTGGCAGTTTTTCAGAAAAAAAATAGGAATAGTTCCTACCTTAAGACCCAGGTATACCACTCGTGGAAATATACTCAAAAGATCCCCCAATATCCCACAAAGAGACTTGCTTAGCTATGTTCATAGCAGCTTTAGTTGTTATAGCTAAAAACGAGAAGCAACCTAGATGTCCCTCAACTGAAGAGTGGATAAAGAAAATGTGGAGGCAGGATTCTTAGTCATTAAACAGGGTGAGTTGGCACTGAGTCTGTGTGAACAAATATTGGCTTCTGACTGTGAGGAAAGTTAAGACAGGAGGCAATCTTGGTCAATCAGTATGCTTGTGTTAGGCAAGCTGTTAGACCATTGTAAAGCCTGAAGGTACGAGGATTGTCAGGGAGGGGAGAGTCTTGATCCCTGACTAGGCTGCACTGGTAACTGAACCTCCTGTACCCAAGTCCTGAGATGAGAGAGAGGCCCTGACCCAGATCACATGCCAAGTTAAACTGGAGAGTAGAAAGTTTTTCCTAGGTTTATGGGGATGGCAGGGGTGAGCCTGGGTGGAGCTAGGCCTGGGAATATACTAATGGTACAAATGAGTCACTTATTAGCCTGGTCTGATAGGCAAGCATCTTTGGCTCAAACTAGTCACAAGAGTTGAAAGGCAGTGTGTGAGGACAGGTCTTGATAATATACCAGTCTGGGCTGGTGTTTGGGAAGCTTGACCAGAGCCTGAGACTATAGGCATAACAGGGTGCACAATAGTCCGGCTCACTTACCAGGCTTCACTATTGAGGGATCTGCTTGACCAAACTAGACTTTGGAATCTACAGAAGGTGCTGGAGTAGGAGTCCTGTCACTTACAGGGTTGGAGTGTTGCTCATGCTGTGTAAACCAAGCCAGGCATATCGGTGTGAGGAGGATGCTGAAGGGAGAGCCCGGATCACTAGAGTACTTAGGAAACTCACTTCTGTCCTCTGATGTTCACACTACACTGTCTGACCTGAAAACATCCTGGAATTATTGGTATGGTGGGCAAGTGTGGAATCCAGGGTAATCATCTCTTTGGGCTGATGCAAAGTCTGCCTGTGACTGGGAGACCACACCTAGACTAAGTAGGTGCAGAAAGGCAGGGGTCTGACTCACTACCAAGCTTGACTAAGCAACAATGTACTTGGTCCAAATTCACCCTGGGAGTTTCAATTTGGTGCAGAAGAGTGAAGTCTTCTCACAAAGGACTCACCAAGACAGACTGATGCCCAGGCAGTTTCAGCAATGCATAGACCTGGAACAGTGCAGATAACCTCGGAGTGCAGGATCTGGTTCAGGCACCAGGCTGGGTTAAGAAGTTCAGGCTATGGCACACAAGCAAGACCACAGACCATTATTGTGACACTGGAAGGATAATATATTGAATTATCATCAGATTAGGATGGTACACAGTCTGATTGAGCACAGTTAGGCCACGGAGTGTGAGGACAGAGTTTGAGGAAAGCATTGGAAAGTGAGACTTGACAACTCATCAGGCTGGGCTGTTCCTCTGACTGTGAGCATAGTGATGGTAAAAGCCAAGTAGGGAATTTGGACACTCACTAGGGTACATTGTCTACCCAGGATCATGGGGTTTCTGGCTACTGTGAGCTGGTGCAGGATGGCAGGGGTCTTGCTACCAGGCTTCACAGTGCGATGCTTGACCCAAACATGGCCTAGGAGATTCAGGATGATGAAGCTCAGTAGGCTGGCCTGTAGTGTAGGACCCCAAGCCTGGGGTCTTAGTAGAAGAACAGCAGGATGTAATGTTGAGCTCTCCCTGGGCTTGGATGCGCTGTAGTTTGTCTGAACTCAGCTAGGCCAGGGAGTGTGTCTATGGCTCTGACAGGTGAAATTCTTGAAATTTTACTGCACATGAATGGTGTTCAGCCTGTGTGGCACCAGTTACACCAGTCAAGTATACTATTAACATCATGGAATAATGTATAGTTTAATGTGAAAGCTACAAATTTATCTTAGATTGTAAAAGCTGAGTACATGTAAAAAAAAAAAAACCTGTCATCAAAAATATTGAAATCTGTACAACTTTGCTACAGACTATACAAATGAACTGTGAAAATTATAGCAATTCATAATGTACCAAGTTATTAGGAAACACTTAAAAAGTTTACAAAATAGATGTTGGTTTATGGGAAATATTTTTACCAAATTAAGTATAAGGAAGTTATTATCTACACCTCCACTTCCTAAAAATAAGTGTACTTAGAAAACTACAAATTAGCAAAAATACTATGAACAGGCTGCTGCTAACAAACATGGTTCAGGCAGTGTCTTTTTAAGAGCCTTTTAAAAGCCCGTTGCAAAGTCACATTCTGGTTCCTTGATAAAACTAAGGATACAATACAAGGTCTGTTTGTCTTTAGGTGAAAGATAGTTATTAAAATACAGATTTTCCTTAAAGGGACTGATGTGAAAATATAGGTAAAATATCTGGGAGAAACTGAAAACATCATGTGACTTCATTCCCTTGTAAATAAAGTGAATGCTTCCTTGAACTCACAGGCTATTACATCATTGAAAGGTACTATCCAAACTATAGCAGTATCACTTAAAAATTATCAACACTATCTCATGTCAGGTTTTCACAGCTGTGACATGGTTTAAATTCAATAATCCATTCCCAAGAGGAGCCCACCCAAAGCAAAAAATCAAATTTATTCTTCCATTATAAGGTCATCCATCGGTGGACTGTATCTGAACCTGATACAGCCATCATTTTGTAGTTTTTGGAAGGGCTTCTTCTGGACAAAAGAGGTTCCTCCTTGCAACCGCTTCTGCTATCTACCATTTGCACGTTGGTACTGTTTGGAGAGCTACCTCCCGCTGGTGAGGCTTCATACAGCACACAGATGGAACCATTTTCTCCAATCCTGTAGGACACTTCATAGGGGTCAACCCACAGTGTGAGCTCACTTGGGAGGAGCCTCAACAACTCTCGACTACTCAGTCCAATCTGTTGTGCTGCCTGACCGACCAGAGGATCCATCTTATGGTTGATGCGAATACACCTGTAACCCGATCCCTTGCAGGGCTTCTCTGGGAACCAGTGGTGTTTGTAGTGTTCTGCCAGCAGCTCCTGCAGGCTCTGGCTGAAGATCTGTAGCTGCTCCTCATTCCTGAGGCCCTTGGTGCAGAGGAACTTGGAGATGAAGGTTGCTGCAGCACAGATCTCGCCAATCATGGTGGCTGCAAGGGTTAAGAAGGGGGATGTGTGGGAGTGGCAGATAGGTCAGTAGTGTGTCCCTGAAGGCACAATGGCCACCCCAGCTTTCTACTGAAACCTGGTCTAGAGAAAGCAAGTGTATGAGTGAGGCATCTATTAGCTGTAGGGCCCTTTGCAAACTTTTCTTTTAGAGGAAAAAGTGACTGTGGAGAGAAGAGACAGAGGAGATAGCTAGCCTGGTCACATGACTTTGCCCTCTCCAGCCACCCTCCCACCAGCTCAGTAGCCTCTGAGAACCCCAAGAGTTGTAGTTCCGTTTCTAAGAGACAAAATTACTTGCATTCTTAAAGGCATATTAAGTGTAAACAAGCTGAGCACACAGAACATCGCACTGGGTACATATCTTGGCCTGTTGAGTGTGGGGAAGTGGAACACACTAAGATTGGGTTGATGGGAAAGCTGTCTGACCAGAGCTGGGATAGGCAGATGGGGATGGTGTCGAATAGATCACCTTGATTACTGACTATGAGGCTGGTCTTACTCCCAGGCTACTTGGTCCTGCAGAAGGGCATATTCCAAGCACAGCCTGCAGGGTCTGTTAATTTTATACATGAGCAGGGTTATGTGTGATGGTTCAACAGAACAAGAATGGTGGATAAGAATTGTGATCCAAAGTATTGTATATGGTATACAAGGGCAGGGTCTTGATTACTTACCAGTCTGGGCTGGTGAGATGTTCTCCTGACCCAACTTGAGCCTGGGACTCTGCAGTTTGCACAAGAGGGCAGTGTCTTGGTCACTCACGAGGTTGGATTAAGTGCAGGCTGAGTAAAGTTAGACCTGGGAGGATTAGTATATGGCAGCAGCAGGATAGGATCTTCATCTTTTAAGAGACTAGAACTGTACAGAGTCTGACTGGCTTGATCCAGACATCAGAGTGTCTTAAGCAGTCATCATCTTAGGATGTCAACAAGAATAGTTTCTAGGCTGTTGGACTCTGCCTGGGTATGGTTACATAATAATGGTATAAACAGGCAAGATTCTGGATCCCTCATGAGACTGGGCTGGTAGGTAAACTGAGTGAGCCATGTTAGGCCTCAGATGTGAGAATTATGTGGGATGCCAATGTCTTGATAACTGAACACTATCAATTATTTTCCAGGCTGCTTGACCCTACATAGGTCAAGGAGTGTAGAGATGACCCCACATGATTCAGGGAGTGTGAAGATGTTGTGGAAGGGTCAGGGTCTTAGTTATTCAATAGACAGTGTTGGCTTATGTTCTGCTTGAACCAAACTAGGTGTGGAAGTGTGGCTAAGGAATTGGAGGGGATGTCTTGGTATGGACTCTGCTTCTGGGCAGGTTATATGACCAAAGCCAGGTCTGTTAAAGTGACAAAGAGAAGTAAGCTGGGCTTTTATTAGTCTGTTCTTATGGGCAAATTGCTCAACCTTAGATATGCCTGGGCACATAAGCATTGTGTGTGAAGAGAAACTTTTAATCAATCCCACAATATCTTCCTGCTTCTACAAGACTGCTTGACCCAAAGTCCTAGATTATTAGGATGATGGAGGAAGACTAAGTCTTGGGTACACTTGTGAGCAGGCAACTTGAACCCTATCTTGCTGAGTTGCTATTGGATATGATGAGGGAGGGCTATGTTTTAGGTTAAAAAAAAAAGAGATGGCTTGTGTGCAGGCCATATGACCACAGCTAGCCCTGGTAGAGTGATAATGTGTCTTTCACTTACCGGTCTGTTCTGGTAAACAGTATTCCTGGGATTGTGAGACCACATTGTAGTCTGTGGTATAGCACCAGGCAACACTCTTATTCACTAATAAGGCTTGGCAGGTCTGCAAGCTCCTTGACCTAAGCTAGGGCAAGGAGTGTGAGGATGAGTTATGAGGACAGGGTCTTTCCCCTCACCAGGCTGGGTGGTGCCCAGGCTGCTGCAGCCATTCTAGGCCTGGAAATGAGAGGATGTTCTTGGAAGTACAGGGATCTGGGTCATTCACCAGGCTGGGCTAGAGTCCAGACATTGCTGCTCAAGCTATTATGGTGTATTAGTACAATACCAGGAGGACAAGATCTTGAGTTCCATGATGTACAATGTGATTGACTCCAGATAAGTCAGGATGAGGATGGCTATAGCAGGTGAGATTTGTAGGAACTCACCATCCTTTGTGACAGTACCTAGGACTAGTACTATGGAGGTGCAGGCACTTGACCTTCCTGCATTTTGTGCTACTTAGACCCTGTTAGGGTTAAACTGGCATTAACATGGAGGACAGTTATCTGAAACACTCACCAGGCAGCTTGACCAGTGTTCTGAGGTAGCTGCTCGAAGGGGAATCTTGATCACTCACTAGGCTGGTCTCTTGCTTAGATTGTATGAACCAAGCTAGGCCTATGAGTGTGAGGAGGGTACATGAGCGAAGATCTTGATCTCAGAGCACTCACTTGTCTCCTCTGGTGGCCACATTGCTTGATCTCAACAAGTCATGGAATCATTAGGGCTGTGGGAAAGGTAGTAGTATTGGTTACTTACCAAAGTAAGCTGGGGAGAAGGCAATTTGACTTTAGGTTGAACAGGGACTGTAGGGATGGCACAGGAGAACAGTCTGGGTCCCTCACAGGCTGAGCTTTTATGCAGGCTTTTTTTTTACCCAAGATAGTCCTAGAAGAGTGGTAATGGTGGGAAAGAGCAGGGTCAGGGTCAGGGTCAGGGTTAGGATTACTCACCTGGCTAAGCTGGTCTGCAGTCTGCCTGTAATTGTGAGATCACTTTGTACTCTGAGCACGTGCAGCAGTGCAGGGGTCTGGGCCATATAGGAGTCTTGGCTGGCCTGGAAGCCGCTTGAATGGGATTATGCCTGGGAATATGAGGATAGTGATGGAGGCCAGGTTCTTCAACCCTCACAAACAAAAACCACAGTTTTGGACTGTGGGGATGCCCTGGGATTGGAAGGGTCTAGGTTATGCACCAATCTTGGCTGTTCAATGAGCTACCTAGGCACAAATTTGACAGGATGATATTATAAGATAGAGTTCTTGATTCCATATCTGGCTGGGTTAGGGTAGAGGTTATGTAACCCAAGGTAGGTCCAGGAATATTAGGATACCAAACAGTAGGGTAGAGCTTGGGCTTTCTCAAATCTGGGACAGGGGACATTCTGATTGATCCCAGCTAGGCCAGGAACTATGAAGATGGATCAGGCAGGCAAAGGTTATATGGATTCATAAGACTGGGCTGATATTCAGGCTATGTTGGCACCATCTAGGCATGGTAGTAGAAGAATAGTGTAGAGGACAAAGTTCTTGATCATTACCAGTCTTCATTGCTAGCCATGTTTTATGATACTAGCTGAGTCTAGGAGTGTGGTAATGTTGTAGATAAGCAAGGTTCTGGGGAATTCAAAAAGGCTACTATTGTGCAACATTGTGCAACAATATGACCTAAACTAGCCCTAGTACTACAAAGATTAAAAGGGAAAACAGGCAAGGTTTTGATCACTCACCAGTCTGGTCCAGTGCCCAGGCTGCTTGACACCAGCTAGGCTGAAGACTCTGAGGATGGCAGAGGAATTCACAGTTGTGAGTCACTCATCAATTAAATTCATCTGCTTGACCTGAACTAGCCCTGGGTGTCTGAGGAAAGTACTAGAGAGGGAGTCATGATCACTCAACAGGCAGGGATGTTGCTTAAGCTCTGAGTATATGCTACATGAAGGTGGGGACATAAGGTACTCACTAGAGTGGCCTAGTACATTGTCTTCCTGAGACTGTGTGATCATTCACTTGTCTGAACAGTTGCAGAAGGGCAGGGATCTAGAAAACTAACCAGACTCAGATGGTCAGTGAACTGCTTGACCCAAACTCAATCTGAGTGTGTCAGGATGATTCAGTAAGATGGGCTCTTGATCCTACACTAGGTTATGTTGGAGTAAAGGCTGTTCAACCCAAGCTAGGCCAGGGAGTATTAGGAGGACACCTCAGGATCAGCTCTTGGTCTCTTACTATGCTGAGATGGTATCTAGTCTGAGTGACCCCAGTAGGCCAGGGAGTATGAGAATGGCTCTGGCTGACAAACTTTCTGGGAATTCACCATTGTGGGCTTGTGTACCGACTGTATAACCCCAGCTAGACCTGAAAATATGAGAACAGATTCTTGGGTACTCACCAGTCTGGGCTGGTGCCAGCTTGACGTGAGTGTGGTAATGGTTGAAGATGGGTGTGGTTCTGGGTAACTCCCCAGACTAAGCTGGTAGACAGCTCACCTCCTATTGTGAGATCATTGCTATTCTGACCTAGTGGGGGAGGGGAGGGGTCTGAGTAACCAATCAGGCTGTGGAAGGTGATGATGCTGAGGAGTGCCATGATGCTTCACCTGTCAGGAGGCAACATAGGACAAGTTAATAACCAGCAGGTGATCTTCCTGAGATGGCTTGCTTTAGATTAAAGAATATCTGTACACAATGGATTTTCTCTAATAGGCAAGGCCCAAGAGAAAATCATTTTAAGAAAGATTCCTGCTATTAATATGCTTTTCCTTGTATTTTTAAATATGTGTAACAACCACTAGGTATTAGCGCACCCTTTTGAGCAGATCTCTGCAGAACAACGAACATGCAGTGTCTTCTACTGATGGCATATAGACAAATAGATGAATTCTTAATTCTTAATGATGATCCAATAAGAATTCAAAAAATTATATCAAAATTTAGTAAGTTCGTTTATAGTGGAATTACTATTAGGTCCTTTTCTGAGAGTCAAAACTGCAATGAGAACTCTGCCAGTCTTTAGTGTCATGAATAAATTGCTTCTGAGATAATAAGCAGGCCTTCTACTAAAGCATGTTCTAAGAGGTTGTAAAACCCTTAATCAAAGGTCATAAAAAGGGAATTAATGATTTATTATAGGTGCTAGGTCAGAAGATAAAATACTGACTGGATTTATCTATACAAAACTTCACTAATAACTTAGTTATACTTTTAGCTCTCAATGAACCTGTGGAGCTGTGACAGGTGATCAATGTTTAACCAGATAATTACTCCTAATGGATATGTATTTACACATTCTCTGTTGTAAACTTCTTATTCAATTTATGATTTGGATTTATGTGTAAACTTGAAATGAACTTTTACCACGTGATCATGTATTCTGAAAGATGTATAAGTGCTGAGGACAAAGAGAAGAGGGTACTCATTTCTCCTTGTCCCTGCTTCTCTTAGCATTATTCTCCTTATTGTCCTCCTCTTAGCACTCTTTTTCCTGCTTTTCTTAGATCCCACTTATCCCCTTTTTCCTAGATCCTTTATCCTGCTTTTCTTACAAGCCCCTTCCCCATTTTTTGTAGAGAGCTTTCATAGGAGACTTTTTACAGCTGACAAATAAAATGCTCAAAGGGTCCCCTTTTCTTGCTGCAACTTCAACTAGCTGAAAGTTAGAGAGGTGCAATTCCTGCAGAGATAAAACAAAGGCTACATTACTTAAACTCTTGATGTTTTAGGATGAGGTGATAAACAGTTTCTTGCCTCAGAGGAACTCAGAAGAAGGCAAGTCAACTACTGAAGCAAACAAAGTGACTTAGAATTGAGATAGGATATATGCCCAGGAGTGGTATAGCTGGGTCTCCAGGTAGTACTATGTCCTTTTCTGAGGAACTGCTAGTCTGATTTTCAGAGTGTTTGTACCAACTTGCAATGCCACCAACAATGGAGGAGTTTTCCTCAATGGGAGGAGAGGCCCTTGATCCTGTGAAAGCTCAATGCCCCAGTGTAGTGGAATGTCAGGGAACTGAGGTGGGAGTGGGTGGGTGGATGGGAGGGCACCCCCATAGAAGCAAGGGGAGGGGATGGGATAGGGAGTTTGTGGAGGGGAATCTGGGAAAGGGGATACCATTTAAAATGTAGATAAAATAAAATATCCAATAAAAAAGAAAAATAATTGAGATAGGGAAACATTTTATTATTATATATCAGCAACCTTAAATTTCTCCTAAGACTAAATCTTACCACCAACCCACGCCCTGCCAATGCTCTTCCCCCTCTGCTGCCATAAAGAGACCCAAAATAGGAAAAAATACTCACTGGGGCTGGACCATGACATTCACATAAGCTAAGCATATATATGACTGGGGAATATTCTAGAATTGCCACCTGTAATTTCATGTCAATTTTACATTGAAAAAAAAACCTGTTCCTGTATATGATCTGTCTCTAAGGAAGCCTTCTTTTTTAAACATGGAAAGAAATGAGGAATATGTCTTTCAGGATAGTTTTACGAAGGAAGTTTTACTTCACTGACCCAGAATAGCACATAGATATTATCAAGCTATATGCTCCACTTCGTAGGGTGTAAAATCTGATTACACAACTTAGCTGAGTGGTAAATGAGGTAAACAGTTTTTAATGATCTCAAGGCTTAATATTATTGTGTTATTCTTGTTATGTTGTTTATTTTGTTTGGGGAATTTTCTAGACAG